CGCAAATTTCAATGTATGTTTTTTTCTAATCCACACAGGGTCAAAAGTGTAAATATAAGGTCAAATATACACATATGTGCTCTTAAATCTTTTAATAAGCGTTTTTTGACTTGACAAGGCTGAGGCACACTCACTTCTAGTTATTGATCATGAGTGACCTAAATAAATATTAAATACATTTAATTTAATTCATTAAATAAACATTTCTAAATATCTGTAGATTCCAAGATCATCAGTTCAAACAAATGCCGTCTGATTAGAGAAGATTTTTTAGGATGTTCAGGAACAACCCAGGAACCACAAAGGCTCAAGCCTGCCATGAATTAGAAACTGCTGGAACATTCTTGTTCACAGTAAAGACAGCTTTACGTCTCTATGGACTGAGAAAGAAGAAAGAAGCCCCTGGTCTAAAAGCACCACCTTCAATCCTGATAGACATTTGCAGCTGTCCAAAGCCAAAAGCTTGACCAAGGTTTTATGGCCAGATGAGACAGAGATTGAGCAATTTGACCACAATGACAAAGGGAATATTTGGAGGAGTAAAACTGAGGCTTTCAAGCCTAAGAACACTGTACTATACACATACAACACCATCCATAAGATAAGAGACCAAATAGACAGAATAAAAAAAGATATCAAAGAGATCCGAAAACCTTGGAAAATAAGTAGGTCTTGAGATTCGATTTAAAGACTTCCAAGGATGAAGAGAATTTTATGAAGGGGGGAAGACTATTCCAGAGTCTCAGGGCAGCAATGGAGAAAGCCCTGTCACCTCTAGATTTGAGCTGGGAGCGTGGAACTGATAAAACCATCTGACTGGAGGAGCGCAGAGATCGAGTGGGTAAGTGCAGGCTAAGAAGATCTGAAATGTAACCTGGAGCCAAACCATGGAGAGCTTTAAAAACAAATAATAAAACCTTAAAATCGATTCTATGTTTAACTGGTAGCCAATGTAGAGTAATATTCTCTCTCTTTCTAGTACCCGTCAGGAGCCTTGCGGCTGCATTTTGAACAAGTTGCAGGCGTGACAGGCTTGAGTGACAAATGCCTAAAGTTTTTAAATGTTTTCTTTCTATTTTAATTCTTTTATTATATTATCCCTCTGTTCAGCACTTTGGCCGACACTTGATGTCTTTTAAATGTGCTATATAAATAAAGATGACTTGACTTGACTAAGAACACTGTACTAGCTGTCAAGCATGGTGGTGGTGGTGGTATCATGCTCTGGGGGTGTTTTGTTGCCAGTGGTACTGGTACATTGCAAGTGAATGGAATAATGGCAGAGGAGGACTACCTCGAAATTCTTCAACTTCAGCTCAAATAGACTGCTAGATGATTGAAACCTGGACAAAGTCGTGTGTTCCAACAAGGCAATGATCCCAAACATCACCATCAAAACTGGTTTTGAAATGGATGAAGCAGGATAACAGCTTCTGGAATGGCCTTCCCAAATCTTTCAGTTCAAACCAACTAGAAATTTCAGGACTATGCTTAAATGAACTCTATCAGTTCTGCCAAGAGTGTTTAAATATCCAGAATTATCCCAGAAGCATGTTGATGGCTGCCAGAAGCATCTGGTCAAGGTGCAACTTGCTAAGGCACAGTTGACCAAATATTACTTGGGGTTCATGTATATATGCCTGTATGTTTACTTTTGCCCCCTTGTGGATTAGAGACAATCCTAAATAAAGTCAAACTTGTGCACCCAGTTCTTGTCTTTTAGAGTCTATAAAGATTCACACTATGCAACCAATGCAACAATTGAAGAAGAAGAGATACAGATAGAGACAGAAGTTCTTTTCATTGTCTCCCAGGTGACCAATAAGCTGGTTTAACTAGTACCAAAAGTAAATGTATTTCTAGAGCTCCACAGAAAATGTCTCCCAGCATCTGCTTTGACTATATATGATATTGCATGTTTGGATCTTAAACTATGACAATGTAGACTATTTTTGTGCAGTTGTGTTCATAACATACATGCATTTCCTGCTTAGCTTTGATTGTTTTTTTAAGTGTGTTGGTGTGTCTAAATACAGCTTGGCTGTGGGCCATTTTCAAACGTATCCTCCCAGTTTAGAATCTAAATTAAAACGGTTTGTTTATTTGTTGTCTTTTTTTCCATCGTGGAGTCTCTTGGTAGTGCTGTTTATCTGCACTGAGGCCTCCACAGTTGCTAAGGTGGGTCTGAGGCTCCCTGGCAGCAGATAGCACCTCGGGGCCTCAGAGGTCTGTGGCAATCTGGGAATTCCCCTGAGCCTTCATCTCCTACCAGCACCCTGCAGAGCAGGATGCAAACATGGATGTAAAGCGAGGCGGAGGGGGTGAACCCAGTGCACTCAGAATTATTTTTATTTTCACAATGTTATAACCAAACCTTTTTATTGATTGTGAATAATTCAGGGACAGTGTTTGCTTTTTTATTACATACATTCACCCACAAGGGAAATTGTAGTAAATGTTGTAAATGCTTAGAATGGCGTTATAGTATGCTCTAAATCATTCACTAGAATGATTTTATGTACTGCTAAGAAGCAGTAAATAAGAATTATTTCATTGTGAAAATAGTTTCCGTTGAACAAACCATGTCAATTTGTTGAAATGAAGTCTTTTAAATGATGATAGAACAAAATGTGGATATTTATCCAAAGTAAAATGATTATTTTTGCCTAATTATTTCCATCAGCAGTACAACTTTCTGGGTCTGAATTTAATGGGTTACCCAAAACAATGCCAAGTATTTGATATATGCCAGTTATATTTTTATGTTAGTTGCAGGGTGTGTTACTTACAATAATAACGCGCAATCTGACCAGGCAGAATATTTGGTTGTGTAAACTTCCTGGACAAACAGCTAAGGAAGTGTCAGACATGATTGCCATTTGCTCTGCTGTGACTGGCTGCGACTGTTTTTACACCTTCCTTCTAAATAAGGCAGCAGGCTGCCAGGACATATGACCACCGTCCCGATTTGGGCCCTGGACACAGTATCCATCCATCCATCCCATGGTTGCTTAAAGCCAATGGAAGTCAAACACACTCACACACACACACACACACACACACACACACACAC